CCCACACCCCACACCCACACCCACACCCACACCCTTCTGTGTTAGTAACTTTTATTATTTATTAACTACTTTTATTAATTTATTTGAAAAAATAATAAATATATGCGCATGGAAACAGAAGAACGTGAGAAAAATTTAGGTGGTTTTTATCAATCACACATGCCATTACTGTTACGTACTCCCTTGCGTAAGTGTCTTACATACTGATGTACAAACGGTAAAGCACCAAATTCTATTTTTGATAACAAAAATAACAAAAAGTGTACCTATTGTAATTAAACCATTATTACAATCAACTATTTATGTTTGTTAAATATCAGTTTTAAGTTAAAGGAAATAAAATGATGTTAATAGAAAGATAAATACAAAGGAATGATAAATAATAAAGTATTCAAAATAAAACATTAGTAGAAGTCAAGCAAAGTGTTTATATAATGTTTCATTATTAACAATAATGAATAAATTTGTAAAAGCACATACTTGATCTGGATCATAGAAAACAGGCTAAAAAAATAATTTAATTTACAAATAGCTCCCAAGTTTTTTGCTGTCTCAGTTTTATAAAATTGTTTCAAACTTGTTTCGTTCCATCAATATAAAACAAAATAACCAAAATCAATCTGGATAATAAAGATTCGAATTATACAGTGTGTTCTAAAATTCCTTTCCTAAAAGTTGTTTCTTCTATCTTTACTATTCGATTCAACTTTATCAACTAAACTTTCTTTTAAATCATTGGTCTATACATCAAGTTTTTATTGACACGAATATGTTTCAGAAGTGCTGTTCAACGTTAAGACCTTTAACCGAAATATGAAATTTCCATTTTCAGACAAACATTATGTAACATTTCTTTTTTAATTACTTCAACTTATTGAGTGATTCGAATCTTTATACTCTCGAATTCTTGAACAGTCTCTTCATAGAATTTTATTTTAATATGTCTTCATAAAAATGAACTGAACTGTAATAAGTCAAAACTCAAGCAATTAAAACAGATACCATTTATGTGTTTTTCTAGAAATAGTAAACATGCTAAATTTCTGTATTTCGGTTAAAAGTTTTAGCTTCGAATAGTACCATTGAAGGTTGTTCGTTTAAATAAAAACTCGGTATGTCTGCCCATCCTTTAAAACAAAAATTTAGTTGATAAAATTGAATCAAATAGTAAAAATAGAAGAAAAAAACATTTTTAGGCTACATTGTATAATTCTGAGATATAAGCGCTCGGTACGTTTTCTTAACTTATATTAGATCTGTGTACGTATGCTTACAATCATCATTTGAACTACTGTTATTAATGATAAATTTTTGTATACGATTATTGCCTTGATCAACAACATACATATTACCAATTTTATCGAATTTTATTGCCATTGGAAGGTTTAATTGGTTTGCTCTACTGCCTCTGCCACCATGACCTGCAATAACTACTCCACTTGCAGCACCTACAGGCCATTTCACCACACGATGATTTTCGTAATCTGGTACATAAACATTTTTGTTTTCGTCGAGAATAACCGATAGTGGTCTGCTAAGTTGATTTAACTTAGTCCCTTGACCATTCCCTCCAGCTACGGTGATACCTGTGGATGAACCATTTGACCATAATTGAATGCGATGATTGTGAGTATCTGCCACATAAACATCACCATTATCATCTGCATAAATACCTTCTGGACCGATAAATTGATCTGACGCATTTCCACGTCCATTTGCTCTTACAACAACAACTTGTTCGAAAGAATCTTCAGATAATTTTATCACCGTGTACGTGATACTATCTAGTGTGTAAATATTTCTATGTGAATTAATCCAAAGATAAGCGCAATCACTACGATATGCAGCCATGATAGCTTGACCACAACTTGCACCATTAGTCCACTTTAATATCCCACGACACGATTCGTCCGCAATAAAAATATTTCCACCAGCATCTACAGACACATCCAGTGGTCTGTCCAACTGATATGCATTTAAACCTTGACCATTTCCACCAGCCACAATTTCTCCACTAGAGGCATTAGGTTTCCATTTCACAATACGATGATTCAATCGATCTGCTACATACACATTTTCATTAGCATCGACATACAAAGAATTTGGACGATTGAGTTGATTTAATGCTGAACCTCTACCATTACCTCCTGCAACTGTTATTGCATTTTCAGACCATGTCATTGTTGCACAGTTTGTATATATTTTATCTAAAAAGCAGAAAAGTGACATATCAACGTACATCAGATTTTGAAAATATTAAATTATTCATGTGCAATATATAAGCGCCAACTCTTTAAAATCTATGAATTTTCACTTAATATATTTATCGATTTAAAATAGTTGTATTAACCATTAGAGTAGTTTTCTATCATTTGAATCAAACATTCTTATCTGAAATTAAAAATGTTTTTCATTTTGTCTCTTAGGAAATGTAATGAAAATAAAAATAAACTATAGACAATACGCATATTAACTTTTCAATAGTCATGCATGATTGTACAACTACACTACTGTTACTACTTGATTAAAGCATATAGTGATAGATTAAGCATTGAATGAGAACACTTTAATTGCACTAGTTCGTTAGTTATTGTTTGTACTTCATACTAATTATGGTGTAAAAATGATGTCACACTCCCAGTAAAAAAATCTATCAGCAGAATTATTACACAGTTTTTCCCTCATAATAATTAACAGAGTTTTGATGCTACGCTATTTTTGACTATTTCGAGAAGAAAAAAAGCTTCCGTAGGGTGGATCGAGATGAGTTTAGAGTACGAATATTAAGTCCTGTGAAACTATTTGAAAATCCATTTTGATACGATCAAGCTGAGATCCATGAAATGATCTATGCCGATCTCTGTACTAATTACAAGTTGAAAAACAAGTCCAGCTATGCAGAAATTTAATTGTCAATTGGAAGAGTTAAATAAGCAGCAACATAATTCCTACCTAATACTTTGCCAGTAATACGTTGTATCTTTTCATTTATATGTTCAATATTGTCACGATAAAACTTAATAATTTCATCATGCTTCTCTCCGTTTTCTTCTAAAATATTTAATGCATAATTATAGTTTAATTTTGCATCTTCGTAATATTGAATAGCAAGTTGATTATCTTCTTCGTTTTTGATATTACTAGCCAATTTATCACCCTGTTTTAGTCTGTGATTGATAATTTTTTCAAGAGTATCTCGAATATAATTATTAATCTGTTTAATTGATTTAAGATAAGTTTTATCGATTTTTATCAAAATATTATAATCCTTCTTTGCATATTCATAACACAATATAGCACGCTGATAATAATAGACTATTTCTCCTTCTTTAGCGTCGGTAGCCAATTTTCTAAATTTATCACCGCGTTTTACGCTGGAGTCGCCGACAATTTCATGAATATTTTTATCTATATGTTCAATATTTTTATGGTAAATACTTTCATTTTTCCATCCATCATCTTTTGTTTTCATTAAAATAATAAACGCATACTCATTATACTTCTTAGCATTTTGATAGCATTCCATAGCTGCATTTTGATAAGTCAAAAACTGTGCATCATCGTCCTGATCTTCATCAGCCAATTTAACATAGTAATTACCATTGTTTAAATGATAATCGGCACATTTTTTATAACTATCTGCAATCAATAATATATGATTTGTTAATCTCTTATTGAATAATTTTGTTTCGTTATATATTTGAATGAATGGTGATTCTGCTGAATGTATCATATCAAAAATCTCTTTTGGTAACATTTGTTCTTTAAATTCCCTTATTTCGGTCCAATATAAAACAGCTCCTTCATAGTCGTCAGCCCTTGTAAGTACATGCCCAATACAATTTAGACTATCGGAAGATAGTTGCGCATAAGAATCTTTATCTTCTTTTTCGAAATATGTCCGACACAATAGTTCATTATATTTCTTTTTGATTATTTCATCTTCAACTATATCAATAATTAATTTATAAATAAGCACACGATCAGATAATGGTATTTGTTGTTTATCAATTCTCATGTTTTCAATCATTTGTTTACGATATTCATTAATATGCTTGGCATCAGTATCATTAGATATAGAATTGCTTGGCAATAAGGATTGATAAAATGCAAGATCATTTTTGATAGAAAGAGAAGAATCACTATCATCATCAGTTTTAATATCTTTTAAATAAATTCTTAAAAAAATGTAATTAATTGCTGCTTTAATAATTTGATTTGCTGTTCCTTCGTCTAATAATTGTAGAGCATCAGCATAGTTTTTAATTGCATTTTTATGATCACCATTCTTTCTATTTAATGCACCGAATTTCATATTAATCATTATCGCATCTTGGTTTGAAATATTCGAATAATAATCAATAATATCTTTTTGTTCAAGACTATCTTGTTTGATTTTTTCACAAATTTTATCTATTATTTCTTTATATCGTAATATTTCGTCGTTGCTTAATGTTGCTACATATAAATAAAATGCATTTAAATAATATTTGATAGCATCGATATATTTATTTGTTATTACTGATATTTCACCACATTTGATATAGGATTCAAGTATATGGTTATTATTATCGTCATGATCATAATTCGATTTTGTCTTTATTTTATTCAACTTCTCAATAATTAAATCTGGAATATATTTTGCCATTGTGTTATTTATTTCTTTTGGAATATCAAGATCAATCATAATTAGATTCGCCGATGATGATTTAATATTTTTTTTGAAATATTCTAATGATTTTTCATAATCATTTAATTCAAAATATGCTTGTGCTAAACTAAAGTATGTTTCTACACCGTTAATAATTAAATCATCAAAGACATTATCACAATTGTCGTTATCATAAAATCGATCTATCCTTTCCATAATCTTGAACATTGTTTGTTTCACTTTTTCTGAACCCAGCCAGAACAATTCTTTCTCTGCTTCATAGATATATTGATGTAATCCGACATACTTCTCTTGTATAAAACCAAAATTTGCAAGCTTATAATATAACGCATACTTTTTTATTTTGGCATCTTCTGACATATTTTCAAGTGTTTCGATTTCCTTTAACACATTTTTATAATTTTTAATTGCATCGTCTAAATTACCAAGTAATTCATGAACATTTCCAAGTTTATGATACATTAAGAATGTTAAATTTTCATCCTGATGCATGGATATTTTTAAATGAAGAATAATTGCTTTATTATACATGATAAGAGATTGTCCTAATTCTATTTTTCGTGCACTATCATCATCAACATCAATTAATATTTTTTTAACGTAAATATCACCAATTGTATAATAAATAAGGATTAAATCTTGGAGAAAAGATGCAAGCATTTCACTACTTTCTATATTTATTCTATTTTTAAATATTGTTTCAAATGCAGATAATCGTATATTCAAGTATTTTTCTTCAGCCATTTTGATAAAATCGTTTGATAATTGTTTACGTAAAATAGTAAGTATTTCTTCTTCTTCTTTAGCAGCCTTTGAGTAGTCATTTCGTTTACAATATAAATCAACTAAATTCGTATGCATTGGCATATAATAGTGTAAATTATCTGCTTTTGCAATTTCATATTTTTCTAATGCTTCATCTAATTTTTCCATTTTACAATAAATATCACCAATTTTATAATAACTCATTTTTATATCAATATGATCAGGAGGAAGATTAACAATCTGTATTTCAATTATACGTTCATAAAATTGTAATGATTCATTATAATTTTTTTCATCAAAATAACTCTTTGCAATCAATAAATAATCTTTTACTAAACTTAAATGATAACTTGAAAAGTAATTTGATTTTAATTTAATCGACTGATTAGAATATAAGCGTGCATCTTCATATTCCCCTAAGTTTAAATATGTTTGGGCTATTTCATAATAAATAATTACTTTCATAGAAATAGTGTTGTAATCAGTATCATCATTATTCATTAAACTATTTTCTATTTGAATTAATTCATATAATTTCTTGTTATTATTATCTGTACATTGAATAATCAATAAATTTATTGCATCTCTCAATAAATCGTTGGTTTCTTGTGTTTCTATTTGATTAAGTGCTTTATGATATTCGATTATTGCACTATTGAATTGTTCTTTATTTAAATACATATCACCAAGTATAATTGACCTAATTATATTTTGATTAATTGTCTGTGATTCAATGGACTTGAGATATTTGATTGCGTCATCATAATTAAATAATTTAGAACTGAGTATTCCACAATTAAATAAGTCATTATTTGACTCAGTGTTATAATAATTAAATGCTTTTCGATAGGCTCTATTCATTAGTTGACTTGGTAAATCAATTATTCCTGTTGATAAATTTTGATCTAAATGTTGTTTCTTCTCATACAGAATAGCATTTTGCCAAACATTCACTCCTTCATCATATTTTTCCATAGAAACATAACAAGCACCGATAAGAAAATGTAAATTAGCTAAATTTTGCTGACTTTCTGTATAGTTATTAATTAACACTTTAAAATCTTTTTTTTCATATGTTTCTATTATTTTTTCATAGGCTTTATGTATGGCATAGTCACTTAATATGATCATATATGCATTCATTAATTTTGGATGTGTAGTTATTAATATGTTTTCATAAATCTTTAATGCTGTATCATATTTGTCTTGAGCATCATCGAAAGTATTAATTAGTTTATTTAATAAATGTCCATAGTGGACACATAAATCAGCTTTCATTAAACTATGTTCTAATGCGTCATATTTTATTTTTTTTTTTGAATCTTGTTCATAGATTTGATAGGATTTTTCAAAGTATTCTTGAGCTTTAACATCATCATTTTTAATAAAGTATGCTTGTCCGATGTTACAGTAAATTGATGCCAAATGTTCTCGTGTTAAATCTGGTTCACGTAACTGTATTCGTTCAGCTTCATCAAAATTTTGTAGTGCTACGTCAATATCACGTAATCCAATAAGATAACTATAACCAATATTATTATAAATTTCAGCTAATGCGTTATTATTTGAATATTCCAATCTAACTTGACTGTTCAATGCTCTCTTGTAATGCTTAAGTGCACCACCATGTATGCCTCGTTTCGAGTAAATGAGTCCCAAACAGTTTTGAGCTGAAGCTAACGATGGATCATTTTCCAATACTCCGCCACGTATTAGTGACTTTAAATAACGTTCAGCAGCACGATATTCACCCAATTCAATTAAATACTTTGTTAAAAGTATGCTCAAAGATGAAAGCGATGATTTTTTTACTTTTAGTTTCATCTCATTCAGTACGGCATCCCTTATATTACGTGCGGTCAATTGAATCCGATGAAAATCTTCATTATCATTTTTAATAACATTATCTACGGAAAAGGTTGAGCCAATACTAAATAACAATTCCTTTTCTTCAGGATGAAACGATATTGTCTCGATATCAGCAAATGCTGTGCATGATATGTCTGGATTAATTGTTATTTCATATAATATTGATACAAAATCAACAAGTGTAGATGGATTCTTAGCATATAATTCAGCGATCGCTTTATCAGTTGTTGTTGAAACAAAGCCATTCATTGATATAATTAGATCTTTATCTTTATTTTTTGATGAAAGTTTGATAGCATCAAGCTCAGATGGCTTAATTTTATCAGCACGATAAACAATTTGATGTTTTTGTCGTGGTTTATTCTTAATGTATATTTCTTCAATCATTTGACACAGATCAGTGAGATAATAGCGGTATGACATTAATAATTCAAAGTTTCCTAATCGCAGTATATTGTTTATTTGGCCGTAGATGAACGCTTCATTACATGAATACCACCATATTGCATTGTCGAAGTTGGGATCTTCGCCGGATATATTTCCAGGCTGTGTGATGTCGCTGCTAATCTGTGAATGTATAGAGGAGAAACAGTAACGAGAAGTTCTGTAAAAGTATTGTGAAAAGCCGCCATAATGAGAAGGTGTTTTTCTTTATATCCAGTTAATTCGCTTCTTCGTACACAGTTAGCCATAAATTCATGTTATTATTTCTATATCATTTCTGATTACAGAGAGAAAGAGTTTTGATACAGACAAGGGAAAAACAGCGGAGACTTCAGCCGTGAAGTCCCATGAAAGCTTGTAAGTCTTTTGAAGTCTTCTGAAGTTTTTTGAAGTCTCTTGAAGTCTTATGAATTCTCATAAAGTCTCTTGAAGTCTCTGAAGTCTCTTGAAGTCTCTTGAGGGTGTGGGTGTGGGTGTGAGTGTGAATGAATAATATATTATTACCCACACCCACACCCCACACCCTAGAATTTATACGAGACTGAATGATTATTTATTCGCAAACGATTTGAATCTTGAGAGAAGAAAATCGTAGAATGGTTAAAGTTTTAGGGTCTCAAGTATTAGTATCACGTCCATGCCTTCATACTTACACTAAGAATATTTTAGCCCTTTTAGTTCTTTTAGCAAGTGAGTTTAAGTTTGAGCGTGCGTGTTCCCTTTACTTTTACACCCCCTAAAAGACGAAAAAGCTTGTCAGCGCAGCCCCTTTGGGGCTGAAATTTGGAACTCACGTATGTTCTTCAGCTTCATTATACTAACATGAAATATAGAACGTATAAAATCAAGAATTTCTAAATTTTTTAATTTTCTGACAGGCACCCTTATGTTTCGTTTTATTGTTGCTATTCGTTCAGTATTTTTCGTTTTTCACATTCTTTTTTGTCTTAATTCTATATTTGTTCTTTTTTATTATAAGCATTGAATTAGATGGTAAATGAAACTATTATATATGTATATATTTATTTATTTATCCATTATTTAATCCTCATTGCTAAAGTCTGTAATAGGGAGCTGTCTGTAATGGGTAGTTGTCTGTAAAGTGGGGGGGGGGGGGGGGGGGGGGGGGTTTTTGAAGGTTTTTTTTTTTGGTTTGCTAAGTGTCTGTAAGGGGGGGGGGGGAGGGAGAGCCACCAAACCTCGAACTGAAAATTTACACTCACTATTTTCTTCGGAAATATACGTGAGTTCCACAAAACAGACTTTTGGGAGCAATCAATTTTCAATATCATTCCTGTTCTTGATTCTCGGAAGACACTAGTTACTCTGTTATGAATAAGGGTGTCAATTTATATTTACTTTTCATTTAATTTATGAGTAAATTAAAAGATAAATAATTTATAATTATTATAAAGTAAACGATAAATGACACCCCTACTATTTGATAAGTTTTGTTTTTTGCATGTTATAGAGGTTTCATGTAATTTCTATAAGGTATTTTGATACGCATGAAATCTGCCTCTTGAAGTCCTGTGAAGTCTTGTGAAGTCTTGCGAAGTTTTATGAAGTCTTGCGAAGTTTTGTGAAGTCTTGTGAAGTCTTATGAAGTCCGTGAAGTCTCACGAAGTCTGTGAAGTCTAACAAAGTCTTTGGAAGTCTTTTGAAGCCCCATGAAGTCATACGAAGTCTTATGAAGTCTTGCGAACTCATTGAAGTCCTATGAAGTCTTCAGAAGTCTTTTGAAGTCTTGAAGTCTTGAAGTCAGCTGTTTCCCCCTTGGATACAGAATACGCCTTATGTATGCTTTTTCTGTTCTGTTGAGATTCTTGTAATTGAAAATTCGATATATCAGGATAGAAAGGTCATGGACTCGAACTCTTAAAATTAGTCGAATCTAGAAGTCCTCTCGATATCCTCAAAATATGAGTTCAAATGCGATAAATCATTTCGAATAGTTCTCTCGTAAGTGCTGATACTCAATGGCGACTAACTGGAAATCTACTAAAAGAACTTTTATTTTAATATTCCTTGTGTGTTTTTTCTTTTTTTTTGTTTCATATGTTTATTGTACATTTTGACCTTTGTTCCACACCGAAAGGTAAGGATAATAAAAATAACTAAATATATCTTTCATAACTCTAATATTTGATATGGTGCGTGCCTTTAAAAATTTAAAAGAATGTGTAATACTTAAGGCTTGTGTATGATTTTTGTGCAGTTCGACAGATAACATCAACTTCGATATAATTCCAGTCAATGAAGAAATACTTTGTCTAGTTGGTTGTGTTGCCCACTAAGCTGCTTCAGTATTATTATATTTTTATAGTTACCTACAGCACGTACCACCACAGAATGGTAGAGAAAAAAAGTTGAAGACACCAGAAGTAGTCTGGTTTGAGAGTATCAAAATGCGTAGTTTGATACCAAAAAAAAAATTGAAAAAGTAATTCAATAATCAGTTCGAGAGGCTTTCATATATTAGCTTTCTCTTCTTATAAGTTACATGTATAATGTTTGCACTTTCATGAATGGATGTAGTTTTCTGGTGTATCTTTTAAAAAATCTCAAGCGTTTCTAATTCGAGTATTGAAGAAGATAAGTATTCATGGAAACATTACATATTTACAGTAAAAGTATATTTGTAGAATTTAACAAGTATCATTAAATTGAATAATGTGACATATTTGGGCGAAATATTTTACCTAGTGCAGTTTTTGAAATTGTATAAAGTTCAAATTTTCCAGTAAGATATCATAAAATACGTACTTAAGTGTTGTAAAACTTTCGTACATTGCATAATAGGAAATCCTGCATAATAGTGCTTGAAACACATGAAAAGTTAAAATTAGGTCAGGATCATGTTGGACTTACAATAATATTCACTAGCACAAAAAGGCTGTCTAAGTAGACTAGTAAGATTTGATTTTCACAAAGGTAATGTTTTTGTATATTGAAATAAATACAGCATCCACAAAATATATGCAAAACTGAGTCGGATGATATATCTATTGAGAATTATCTTGGCTGCAAATTTTTTTTCTACCGAAAATTCAATATGTTAGTTTTTTAGTGGAAAAAGTTTTCGATAGAATACAATGTGTATAGTCATTATATAAAAAAATTGTATTAAGAGAAGTCTACTGGTTTATGTTGATGAAAACATTTAGTTTGAAAAAATCTCTTGATATTCGGAAATAATCCTCTCTTTCTCTAACGTCTCCGTGAAGCCACTAATTACCTTGTTGACTTTTTTGTCAGTTGGATTTGTTAAGAATTCTGACACCTTCTCATCTCTCCGTTTAATCAATGGATCTGCACTGATGTCTTTACAAAATGACATTTTGAACGTTGCAGCATACAGTTTTTGTACATTCCATCTTTGAAGTTTCTTTCGATCCGCTTGCTTTTGTTCTGTAGTTTTGAGCTTGAAAAAAAAAGAGTGAATAAATCTTTTTAACTATATAAGAAGGAGTATAATGTCACCTTACCGTCTCTTCAATATTGGATAAGATTGGCTTTATACTTTGAATATATCTGTCACATACATCCACCATATCTAACCGAGCTATTTCTCTCTGATAACGAGTAAATGGGTCACTCTTGTTCGCTCCCATAACAAGAAATATTTCTTTAATTCTGCTTAGCCATAAATAGGAACTTGATGTTTGTGTTAAGTCATTTATCGAAGATTTAGTTCCATCAAATAATTTCATTGGTAAAGCAACATTGATTTGCTCTTCATTTTCAGTTGGTTTGTTCATTGTTTGATTACTTATTCTACTGTCACACCACGTGTCTTCCTTAAACGAAGGAACTGAGCTATATGTTAGCATTTCAAGAGCAACATATAAAATATTCTTAATACTTGAATTAAACTGTATTTAGGTTGGATAACACTGCATCTCTGTGATTCGTCTCTTCTAATTTAGGTATGACATAATCCTAGTGGAATCAAACTGATCTATATTTTTATTACTTATATATTCCTTTTCTTCGATGGCCTTTCTTTGTAGTCTCAAAAACGTGTCTCATGGTCATATTGCTTCTTATTCTCTTATTATTTGATCTGAGTTGTTTCTTCTAACTGACAGTTTTTGTTCTTTTCTATGGCACTATAAACAATTGTCTGAGTATTATCCTTTTTTTCCCGTTATTGATATATAAACTGACACTCTTTTGTTTCGTTCCGTTTCATTTTGTGTGGATGAAGAATTTTTTACATTCGTATTTAACCTAGACGGTTTCGAAGCTGAACGGAACTAGGTACAAATCAAATCTAGTTTTAAGAATTCATCCCTTAGTCAGAATAATATCTATTTTAAAATATCAGCCATTGAACTTAAAGGAGATAGCGCTTTTGTAAATCATTGCCATTTAGTAGCAGAGTTCACCTCGAACCTGGTCAGATCGAATGACTGTAAGCTGACAAATGTCGAACTTCACATAAGGCAAACAGAAATCTTGGATGAATATTGACTTCGTTCTTTTTAATTTTGAGAGAGCTCGTATAGACTCACCAAAACCCTGCTCAATACTTGAAAAAAATCACTTTAATTCACTAAAAAGTAACTTTGAGCCTAGGTTGGGTCGGATCAAAAAAAACTAACTCATATCCGGCTCTGGTTCGTAGTTTATAATCTGAGAAACATTGTTTGCGACGAAACTATAATGAAGTTTTTAAGTGCACTTGGTGAAAACAATCCAGACGCTGAAAATATTGTATTTTTATGTATTTTCTATTAGATGTTCTCATTAGGAGCATCGAACTTATTTAGACTACTCGAAGCGTTCGAAGATCGATTAATATGTCAGTTATTACATATTATATAAAGCTCAACGTGGAAATAGATACTTTACATTAGATAAGAAACATTTTGTATTCCATAAGTATACCAAAAGTCTCAACTTCAGGTAGCGATATTAAATGGTTTTAGAAATATTTG